TATTCGCAGTTGTTCCTGTTAGTTCTCCTGGATGTGAATATCAGTTTGGATTGTTTTCTGACGGAAATGTCTGTAGTACCAATTACGTAAAATGTGAATATGGTGAAGCATACAGTTTGCCGTGCGAACCAGGATTAGCATATGATGATAGAATTAAAAAATGTAATTGGCCTGATGCTTTAGTCGATTTAGGATGTAATCCTTCAGGTATATTTACGCTGACATTAAATTTACTATTTAATTACATATAGCACTTTATTACAGCAATTGTCGGTTTCAATTGCCCGGAAAAAGTAGATCCACACTCGGTTTCAGCTAAATTCGAACCTTACCCAAGATTTCCCATTCCTGGAGATCCACACAGACTTATTACCTGTGTCAATGGACATCCTAGATTGATATCTTGCGGCGAAGGAAGCATTTTGGATGAGTCATCATTGACTTGCGTTGAACAAGAGTATGTATTATATTGAAATGTATCATAATATTCAATCAATTATTATTTATTTGCACGTAAAAAATTGAAAGTATATTTAGATGCCACGTGAACAAAAGAAGTCTATTTTTGATATTATTATTTATTTTATTTATATTGTTATAAACACTTAAAGCTCGCCATTTTAACGACTAAATTGGCTGCTCAAATGAATTATCAGATCAGTGAAATTTATACTTGCATCATATTTTTATAATTTACCCATTTTTATACAAATTTTATACTTTTTATATAATTTGATTAGCGTAATCTTTTGTTTGTTTTTATAATCGTCAAGGTGTTTTCAGTTTTTTTAGTTTCAATGCCAAGCTAAAATGATATTAATTTTACCATGATGTATTTATGTATTACATAATAATTTAATTATAAATTATTGTTATAGTTGTATTTGTCATTACTTTTATCACTTTTCACTTGACCAATTTTCTTGATGATACGTCAGAAGTTTACAAGTCATAACTAGTTGAAAACTTTACCCTCAAAAATTGAAAACTTTTCCCTGTAACCCTGTATATAGTGGAAATTTACAAAAAAATATGATTTTTTAAATCGGTATATTTCGAAATTTTTAAAACTTTTTTCCTTAAAACTGTCATAACTATTTGAAAAATGAACGCATCAAAATAATTTTTCTATAAAAAGTATCTTAGTTATTTTTATTTTATTTGATATATATATATATATATATATATGT